ATTTGCAGAGCCGCAACCTGGGCCACGCCTAATACCTTCATCAGGCACTACACCCTAGACGTCCGCAAGTCCACCAGTGACAGTCTGGGACGTCAGGTTTTATCATCGGCTAAGCAGTAAACACCTGACAGCACCCACCTCCAGGTAGGCTACTGCTCGCTAATCTCCCATTGGTGTGAAGCACAGAGACCACGAAGAAGATAAACAGGTTGCTTACCAGTAACTGGTGATCTTTGAGTGGTCATCTGTGCATTCACACCACCCGCTCTCCTGCCCCGCTGCTGTCTTCTTCTACCTGTTTTGTTAAGAGATTGATACGCGGCGGTTGGTAGGAACTGGTGGGATGTCCGTGCCTGCCCTTCTGAGCATGCTCACTGGGGCTCCTGAGCATGCTCAGTTGGGCCAGGCACGAAAATCCTTTTAAGAGAGCTTGCTACGGCACCGGCAGATCCAGCGCAGGCGCACTAGATCCCATTGGTGTGAATGCACAGATGACACTCGAAGATCACCAGTTACTGGTAAGCAACCTGTTTTTCATCTGGGTTTGTGGGGCTACGTGAACCTTCACAAACCTTCCCTTTCACCGAACCAGTTCATTTTGTGAGGTTTGTGAAGCTGCCCCCCCCCAGATCTGCGTGCAGTGGGAAGGCCTCTCACCACCACATGCGGACCTGGCTGGGAGGCTTCTGCCCAGCGCTAGAAGCTGCCCCCCCCCAGATCTGTGTGCAGTGGAGAGGTCTCTTGCTGCTGCACACAGACCTGATTGGGAGGCTTCTCCTGTCGAATCTGCATGTGGTGGGGAGGCCTCTTCCAAGCAGGGGGAAGTGAAAGGGATTGCTAAAAATGGTTTGCATCCATTTCAGCCTAACAGCTGACAGGCACACCAACATAGCTGTTAGGCTGAAATAGATGCAAGCCATTTCAGCAGTCCCTTTCGTTCCCCTCCCCCACTTCCCACCACAAGTCCCACAAACCTCTGAAAAACACGTAGAGGGGCGTGGATAGGGATGGACACAAACTTCAGGTTGCAAACCATGGCCCAGTGATTTATCACAAATTTAGGTTTGTGGTGAGGTTCGTATCCCTCCCTGTTCCTGACCACAAGGATGGAACTTACGGTTTGTATGCACTGTAGTCACATTCCAGTAGTTCTGTATGGAGATGGCATACTCTTTCCTACTTGCCCCTCAGTGTATTCTTTCCATGCTGGATATGTTGAGTGAACAGGGCGAGAGAGGGCTGTTCTAGTTGCAGCCTCCAATATTCTCAGCAGTATTGTAAGATGCTGTTACTTAGCTATGCATTTGAATATATTAAAGACTGCTTATGGTTTTATTCTAAGATTATTTTAATATATATACAGTGCATGGGATAAGATGTTTTAAGTGTTCGAAATCTCATTTAAATATTATGCTTTATAACGAAACTCACTACCTCAGCACGAATGTGGTAGAAGTATAGTTGACAATAACATTTAATTGTACATCCACTTTTCTTTCAGCCATTATAGCATTTTGTTTATTTCTTAGCATCACAGCAGAGGCATGCATCAGTATGGGAAGTAATGAAGAGAATTGTTGCTGGAAATGGATTCACTGGCTTGTATGCTGGTACATATCTTCTATACAGTTAAAAATATTTCCACCCTACTGGATAGTAATATTATTTTATATAAAACAGTATCAAACTACTACAGAAGCTGAAGTCCTCAAAATGAGGGAAGCAGTTAAGTTATTAGCCTTTTTGGTACAGTAGCTACTGTGTAATAAAGGTTTTTTATTTGAGGTGGGAGTTCTATAGAATGTGTTAGGCACTAGGTTTTTTTCTCCCTTTTGGTTGATGATGGAGCCAAAGAATAGAAAATCTTGAACAATTTCTTCATCTTCAACTTTAAGGTTGTGTAATTCCCCAGTAGTTATTACCTTTATGTTTTTGATGTTCAGCTGTATTGTGCTTTGGGTGTGCAGCTATATGATTAAGCACAACAGACCACTTTTATGAAATTTAAGCATATGTACTGTATACAGTACTGGGAAAGATTGAAGGTCAAAGAAGACGGGGACGGCAAAGGATGAGATAGTTAGACAGTGTTATAGATGCAACGAACATGAAATTGAGGCAACTTCAGAGGACAGCGGAAGACAGGAGGGCCTGGCGTGATCTGGTCCATGGGGTCGCAAAGAGTCGGACTCGACTGTGCGACTGAACAACAACAACAACTGTATACAGATTATTTCAGTATTGTCCAGTGAATGTTTAATCACCCAATTTCTCCTTGCAAAGTTTTTGTTGCTGTTGTATGTGTATCCACAGTAATTTCTTTTGTTTCTGTAGGTATTGTTCCAAGATTGACAAAAGTTGCTCCTGCTTGTGCCATAATGATCAGCACTTATGAATATGGGAAGTCTTTCTTCCGTAGATTAAATAGAGAAAGAGACATGAAGAACCATTAATGCTGTTTCTCTGAACTTCAAGTAGACTCAATGGACAGAGTGCAGAAAGGGGAATGCTGAACAATGTCTGCAAGAGAAAAGATTTGGTCTCAAAATATGGTTCAAAAGCCCCTTATGGATCCCTCCTGCCTCCCGGCAGCACCACTTGGTAGCTGGGCCATCCCCAGTTGGGCCAGATCTCTACTCAGATTCTGTTCACTGAATTAACATGGCAATAAGAACTACAGTAAAGAACTCCTTGCTGATCCACACTGCAAGGGGAAATACAGATACAGAAGAGTTACCTGCAGACTTGATGCAAAGATTGTCCTTTATTTCTGTTCCCAGATAACCTTTGCCAAACCCAGGAAACACCCCCTCCCCTATTTTCAGGTTCCAAAGCTAACTCCAAAAATACACTTAGTTATCTGATAGCAGTTCATTTGCATTTAGCACTCTGAAGTACTTTTCAAAAGATGTGTTTTACAATAGACATACTAGCCCAGACACCTTTACTTTAACTGCAAAATGCTACCATAATACAAAAATTGTCATTCTTCCCTTGAAGGAACACTTGCTATTGATCTATGGTAGTTTTACCCTGTTGTAATTGATGATTTTTCCATCATGTGACTCACTAAGACTAGCTGTATTATATGAATAAAGCAAGAAGAATCATGAACTATATGTCCTGTACTTATGGTAAGTCTATACAAGTTTTTAAAATATCCTCAATTTTCTTTATATACTCGTTGTTGTTACCTACCCTGAACCTGCAGAATTACAGTAGCTAGAGACTTTTGTACTCAATTGGGGAAAGCTCCCTCAGAAAGGAAAAATCACAGTTTTATGCTTGAGAATTAGCCATTACTGTTCTACACATGCAAGCTGCCTTTTGGGCAAATTATTATATGTACTTCCCTCCCAACTGGAGATGTGGTTCTCTGGTCAAAGCTGAGTTATATAACGGAATTGTATCATCTGGCATATGGGTGAGACCAGGGAATTTTTTTTATATATACTCCCCTCTGTTTTTCCCTCCCGTCTCTCCCCAGGAGCAATGTAATGGCTTTTATGCTATCTGGTTAGTTGTTGGACTTTGTAGTTATAGTTTTATCTTTTTTAAACGGCTTATTTATGTTGTAATCCGCTCTCAGCCCCACAGTTGTGAGGGAGCGTGGAATAAAAATCAAATCAATCAATCAATAGACAAAGGGAGAAATGCCCATTTTTCCAAACTCGCTATTAATCGGCCAACATGAGTATACCCATGCTGTAACAAGACTTAGTACAGCTGCAGTGCACATTCAACCATGTTTTCAGGTATAGAAGTTAACTTTCGGTTAGCACTTATTTATCTGGGTTATGTAAAACACTTTGGTCCTACTATTGGAAACATTCTGAAATATGATTTCAGAATTAATTGTAGTGGGCTCATACTAGTCATGTAGCAGTGCATCAGAATGAATACATTTGGGCTGTTAAAAGCCTTACCCTCATTTCTGAGTGCCTTCTTGATTCTATTGTGTAACCTATAGCCAATTCCAGTGTTGGTAGAATGAGACGAAGCTAAATGGGTATCATTAAACAGAATTAATAAAAGGTTTTCAAGATTATTCACGTCGAGTACCATTTCATTTTTCATTTAAAAAGTGATAGCTTTCAAAAGAAATATTCAGAAGTAATAAATACTTGGCCAGAATGGACAGGAAAACTTGTTTTATAAGCTTGGTACTTTAAAGATATATTTCAATTCAATTTATTACAGGTCTATATGACTGAAGTCTTGACCAAGAGGATACCAAAGGGGGATAAAATAGGTACATAAAATAGACATAAATGTGTCAAGGTACATAATCACAGTCACATAAAACCCAGGCTGAGCCCAGAGATTAAAAATTACCTAACTACACTTGGGGCGGAGCCAACTAACTAAAATCATCCGAAGATTAAAAGTCGATGTCGAAGTTTTCAGAAGTGCTGCAATTTTCAATGCTTCTTGAGAGCAGCCACCTTAGCCAGGAACCGCGCCACGTTAGCTGTTATCAGTCCATCAGCATTTGAGTCAGATAACAGTACTGAAAGCACCCAAGGTTGCGCGGGAAGATTCATCTTCGTAAGAATAGGAGAGATATAAGTGCTTCTAACTTGAGTCCAGTGGGGACAGCGAAACATCAGATGATCTAAGGTTTCAATTTCGCCAGAATTGCACTGACAAAGGCGATCTGAGTAAGGAAGACCTCCAAATCTTCCCAGAGTTACCATTGTTGGAAATACATTTAAGTGGGCCAGCATAAAGGCACGGCGGTGAGATGGAATTGATAACATTGAATAAAAGTCAGGAAATCTCTCTGGAGGGGACAACCCCAAAGCCAAAGGAGAGCAGGTGCATCTTGCCCTGGTCACGGTGCTGGCCCAATCCAACTGTTTAAGTTTCTTCAAGGTTTCCTCAAGCTGAGAGGGCATCAGCTCTTCGTTAGGTGAGGACATTGGCACTCCCAATGTCCTGAGTTTACCAGCAAGAAGGGACAACCAAGGGTTGGATGT